CTACAACTCTAGTTTTAAAGAGTGATGTTTTCCTTAAAAATTTCTCGTCTCATTCATTCATTCTTCCTGCTAAGCCCTCAAACAGACTCTGATGGTGGTCTGCTATTATTTTTACAACACTGGCATTTTTGGTTTTAAATTTACTTCATTTGCATAAATTGCCTCCCTGCTTCGGATTCTGTACTTCCTGGCAAAGCCTGTGGGTATGGAAGTGTAACGGATATGATAAAGAGGTACAGATTATGACAAATTCTGGAAGCATAGGATGACTTGGTGGGCGTCTTTCAGAAGCCCTCATGAACTAAGGCACATTTTTGCTAACATTCCTATATTGGGAATCCAAACCAAAACCTCGGGGAAAGAAAACAAGGAGGCTATACATGGAGGTGGGAGAGGAAGAGTCAGATGGCATCAATCACCAGAGAAAACAATAGATTGAGATGCTGAGAGTAGGCTAAGAGCTACATATGCAGAAAGCAACAGGATGACGGTCAACTCTAGCCTGGGATTGTAGTTCTGTGGAGGGAGGCTGGGCCAGCATGTATAAGGCCCTGGTTCCACCCAGCACAGAAGGATGACATTGCAACTCAGCGGGAGGAATTGTCTCCCCCCCCACCCTTCCTCTCCCTCCCCCCTCCTTCTTTTTCACACAGTCCAGGTTGGCTTGAACTCCTGATCCTATTGTCTCCCCCTCCTAAGCGCTGGAATGTGCTACCATGCAAAGCTAACAAGGAGGACATCACTACCAACATAATACTCCACATTTCCCTGGTGGGGCTGCTTTCATAAAGAAGCTTTGCATTTATGCAAAGTAGAATTTGGCTTCCCTTTAGGGAGGAGAGGAATCGAAGAAACAAATGATGGGACCTAGATGACCTTAGAGCAGAAAGAAACCGTCCCCATGAGTCACAAAGCTTTCTCCTCTTGTCAGTCAATAGCTTTTGGAAACCGAGGTCACCAGTCACCTTCCTCTTGGACACACGATGCTGAAAGTACAGGAAGGTTTCCCTTGCTTCTGGCCAGACACACGTGTGACTTCCCTGGAAGAAGGCGTGCTGCCAAGCGGGCGGAGAACAAACCCCCTGCCAGTACACAACGTCAAGAGGAAGCAGCTGATGCAAGGGCCATGTTGGAGGGAAAGCAGGAAATTCTGATGTGGAGATAGTCAAGGGAAACTACACAGCGTAGGGAAGAGGAGGGAACTGCCGAGAGCTCAGTCAGGGGTTAGAGGTCACAGGGATCAAGCAAGAGTGGAAGCAGCTTCATTTCGAACTCAGGGCATAGATGCCAGGAGTCAGGGCACTAGGGGGAGAAAGGTGTTACGTGGAGACTTTTGTGATACAGTCTGGAAGTTCATCTAGTGATCTATGAGGCAGGAGAGTGGGGGAAGACGGGAGCGGGTGATTTTGTAGGAACTACATTGCCCTGAGCTCCCAATGGACAATCCGGTTTGGTAGAGTGCCACACGGTGAACTTTTAATATGGTGATGTGGCTTGTACGTCTCACTTAAAGCACAGCTTGGAGAATGTTTAATTTTCTCACTGTGTAAATGGATGTAAATCTCTGGAAAATGCCACAAGCCATATCACTGAATAAAGTCTACAAGGTCTGAGTGAATTCACCTTCCATGCCCGGTGGAATTTAGAAAGTGCTTAGCTAATTGAGCAACTGAAAGTGGAGGGGGAAACGCATCCCAGCAAGCTGAGAGGACTTCATCACTGACCCGAATCTGACCCAGCAGGCCACATTCAGTACATACTTAGACAGAGAGGGAGGAGGGAAAACAAAGTGAGTTCAATGGAACGTGAGAAAGAACAAACCGGCAATGCCTCTGAAGGGTGGGGCCCCACAGTGCTGTTTTCACACCCCCCCTCCTGGACCAGGTCCAGTAACTCTCCACCCAGCATCAGCCAGGCATGACATCACTGATCTTCCTTTTGCTCCAGCAGCTTCCTGCTTTCTGGAGGCCCAATAAGGCAATGACGTCAGGGGTGCACCTGGTAGAGAAGTGCCCAATCAGGGCTCTTGCAGCAGGGAAAAAAGCCATAGCGAGTTGAAGGTGATCTTCTAGTCCCTCTCCACAAGGAAAAAATAAAAAAATAAAATAAAAAAGGTGTGTGTGTGAGTGTGCGGAATCCTCTTCTCACCTTCTACTTTGACAGGGCATGGGGCCCAAAGGGGATGGACTAAAAGCAAAAGAGGGAAGGAACCACTCGGACAGCCACAATGCCAGAATGGGTGTCACGGCTGTCCCTGCCACGGATCTGGGAGACATACCGCAGTGTATTTATATTTCTTTACAGTTCAGTGGCTATCCTGGCCCTTAAAAGTGTTCTATATGGTGCCGACACCACAGAAATACCAGCAGGAGAGCTAATCTCTCCTAGATGAACTGCAAGATTGTTTAAGCCTGAGATCCCAGTGAAGACTGTCATTGAAAACCAGCCTGCATCAAATTAAATCCCACAGTGGTTAATAAAAAAGGAATTCAGTCTAGGCATAGTAACTCATGTGTATAATTCCAGCATTTAGGAGGCAGGGCAGAAGAATTGTGAGCTCAAGGGTAGCCTGGGCCATGTAGTGAAACCCACTCACATCCACTCAGCAAAGCTTCTCTAACCTCCTAAGAAAGAGCTCACACTGTAAATTCTTTCAGAGTCCATTGCTCACAGCCTTGATGCTATGATACTAAAGGGAAACAGTTGCAGGAAAGGTAACTTCAAATGGACATCTGCTAAGAATTCAAGCTTGGTTGGATACCTCTCCATGTGGTTATGAAAATGTGCCATTGCTTAGGAAAGTTCTTTGAGACGAAAGGAGTCCTTCACCCCCTGTCTACCTGATAAAAAATATAAGGGGGGCCCAGGACTAATTAACAGGGATAAACCTCTTATATCACTTTTGCACAAACACTGGACAGATGGAGCACTCTAGATGGTTCCCCTTGCTTGAACACAGCAGGACACCTGCAGAACACCACCCGGGAGCCCAAACAGGCAAGCTAGAGACACAGAGTCACATCCCACATGCTGGGACAAGCTCTCACTCTCCTTAAAGTGGCTGGCCCAAGTTAAATATTGTTCTAAGAGCTTATGGTTTATCATTTTCCCATTTATTGCATTTTTAATGTTATAAAAGTGATATATGCTGCCTCATGCTAAGGGTTTGGTGTTGACTTTCTGGTCCTTTCTATAAGGAATTTATTTTCCAACATTACTTCACACATGTGACTTACATAGTAATATTTTCATGCCGGGTACTCAAACAGGCTTTGTAAGTTAGAAATTAAAGACTGTACCCATGTGATAGGACAAAGAACACTGCTAATTTTTTTCTCTGCCAGGAGATTATTTTCTGAGAAGTTGTACAGGCTGTTGGGTTTATTGGCTATTATAATAAGGAAAAGAGATGTTTATAAAATATGAGGTTGGGAAAATTACAAGACAGGATCTTCTCCTCCTCACCACAAAAGCATGCATTTGGTAAATTATTTCTTTTCTTTTAATAATTCATTTAACTTTATTTCATGTGCATTGGTGTGAAGGTATCAGATGCCGGGAACTAGAGGTACAGACAGTTGTCAGCTGCTATGTGGGTGCTGGGAATTGAACCCAGGTCCTATGAAGAACAGTTAGAACTCTTAACTACTGAGTCGTCTCTCTAGACAGGCAAATTATTTCTTAGAGAAAGAAGGTACTGAGCGGTGCTGTACTGGTTGACAATCTTATATTATTTTGCAGTTTTCAATAATGTTTTGAAGAATGCATATGTGTGATGTCATCTCAAAGACACAAGAACACATAGGAATGCGTTCTTTAAATTCTTTTATATTAATTAATTTTGTGTATGTGTGTGTATGCGCATATGTGGAACTCTGAGAATAGGTTCTCTCCTTCTATCATACGGTCCCTGGAACTGAACTCAAGTCATCAGTCCTGGTGGCAGGCATCTTTGTCCACTGAGCCATCTAGCCCAGGATGCATTCTTACAAAGGAACAAAGAAAGTTGCTTTAGAAAGAAATGCTCCACTGCCTTAACACATATGGAAGCCACCACAGCAAGGTTGTGTGGTGCTCTTGAGCCAAGCAACTTCTGTGGAAAAGCCTGGGGAGGTGAAATGGACTAGAGAGGCTCCCACATTGGCGAATGGATTGACTATCGGTACCTGATTGTGTTAATTGTCACCAAGGAAAGCAATGGCCAAAGAGAATGTGATGTGACAGTTCCGCCATAGAAATACATGGGATAGCTGGTTAAAAAAGGGAAGTACAGTTAAGTGTGTAGCAGCTAAAATATAGAAGGGACAGAGTAAAAGCTCCAGTATTTCTCCATGTGATTTCTCAACACCAGTCAGGCTGAACAGTGTTGTTCAAGGCTGCACGGGCTTAGGCTGTTATTCTTTGCCTTCAAGCATCAGTATGCAAGCAAAGGTGCGAAGGGCTACCTTCCTCCCTTCGGGACATACCAAGAGGAGACCTTTGTTCTAAAGCCCACAGCACTCTGTCCACGTTGACTTTATTTAGCAGTCTATCCACCAGAGCCCCACAGGGGAGTTACGGGTTCTGGTTCCTCTCCATGAAGTTCATGGCCATGCACGCTGGAGGTACCTCTCAATGATTTGCTGAATAGGTGAATGAATGAATGAATGAATGCTATGGAAGAATGCAGAACCTTTCTGGTTGTGAGGCCTGGATGGGGTAAGTGGTCTTTCATCTCAGATGCATGATAACAACTGAATGTGGAGTGACTAAGCATAACATTGATTCATTCTGCCAGAACTTTTACCACCTGCAGGAGCCAGTTCCCCCAGTGTTCCCATTCCTTCCCCTTAGTCATCCCACCAGGAAGTTACCACAATGTCCCTCAAAGGGGTGATGAATGTTAGAAGCATTCCAGCAGCCTGTGGTAGGGCCCAGAGTGGGGTCAAAGAAAGTAAATTCCAGCCTTATTAGGAGATCCTGGCCTCCTTGGGGGAATTTGCCCAGCTTGCATACAGCTTCCTGTGTGTCACAGAAAGCTGCCCTCTCATTGCCTCCAAGTGACAGTGTCCTGCCTTCCAGGACCCCCTTTCCTCAGGCTGCACTTCCTTCCTGACTCCTCAGGCCTGATTGTTTCAAGGATTGCACCACTGTGCCTGGACACTCCCTCTGTCCCTAAGGGTGGCCACAAGAGGAACTTCTGAGCCCTGTGAGGTAAGATAATGGCACAGATGTCTCACTCCAGGAAACCCTGGGAGCTGTCACTGCTCCAGGGCTAATTCACACATTCATTCATTAAGTAGTCATAAGTCAAAGAGCTGGGAGCTTAAAGAGTTCACTCTGATTTTCCAGAATAGCTTTGGCCTTATCCTGGCCAAGGAGGGGGAGGGGAGTGAGGGGATTGACCCACAGAACCATCTTCCTGGCTGTGTCTATGTTTCTAAGAGGGGCATAGACATAGTTCCTATGTCCTGACTGAAAGGTTCAGGCATTATGCTGGCCTGCCCCTGTTACCTGGTGGAACAGGCAGTACCCTGGTCAGCCAAGGTTCCATGGGAACGAAGTCTGCACGCAGGTGCAGAGGACCCCTTTAAAAGACAGGTCCCTGCCCATTTACGCTCTCTGTTTCCTCTCGCTTTCCTCGCTGCTTCCTCTCTACTCTCTTCTCCCACTTAAGCGCTCTCTTGGCAACCGGCCATGGCGGTCAGCCACTTACCCTGTTCCTTTCCTCTTCTTAATCTCCCTACTCTGCCGGGTCTTATAATAAACTTACAGTCAACATGTCTCATGTCTCAGCATTTCTCTTTTCTTCTTTTTAAACAAAAGAATAACACTGACAACCCTTCAAATGATCCCATACCTGATTCAATCCTGTCACTGTCAATCTACGTCTTTCTCCGTGCTCACAGTTGTATGGTCTCTCTCCCGCTCCCTCCCTTTCTCTCTTTCTCACAAAAAATAAGGTCTCACTATATAAATCTGGAACTACTGTGTCGACTAGACTGGCCTCAAACCCCGAGAGATCTGTCTGTCCCCATCTCCCCAACACTTGGATTAAAGACATGATCCACTGGCTTTTCCCACATTTTTTACTTCGAAATAGTGTGACTACCCAAAGCCACCCAACTAAAATTTGAACATGAAATGTTTCTCAGAGGTTCCTGTGTTTGAACATTGGTTCCCATTTGAAGGAGCTGTCTGAATGGTGGTAGGTGAAGCCTCGCTGGGGTTGGTGGTTCACTAGAGGTAGGACTTGAGCTTTTAAAGGCCAGCCCCACCTTTCTGTGATCAGCTGTCTTTCCTCGCTAATGAACTGTATGCATTCCTTCTTAAACCATGAGCCCAAATAATAAGGATGGTTCTCACTCGTCCTCCCTTCACTTTTGTTACAGCAAAGAGGAGGGCAAGAAAACCAACCCTTAAGGCATCTCCCGCTGCAGGTAGCCATCTTTACATCATGGCTTGGGTTTACTTCCACGATTTACATCTGTTTCTGCAGCTCCGGTGCCAGCTGACTAACTCTTCTCCTCGGGGCTAGTCCCTTTCCCCCTGAACTCTCTCCATAAGGTGCTGCTGGTTTCCTAAAAAGCCCATTCTAAGCAAACTCCACCCTGCAGTGGCACTCTAGCAGGAACTGAGTGAAAGACAAACCCTTAGAGTTGGCATTCAAGATGATACCTGTCCTACCTGCATCCGGCTTCTCAGCCTCTCACCGCCAGCCTCACTGGACTATCTGTGTAGGGATTGGTGGGAATCTCCACTCTGGTCGAACTCTCCCATTCCAAACCCTGCTCAGTGGGGGCTGGGAACCACCTCCTCCAACTCCAGACCCCGCCCCTCAGAAAGCCGACAATGCTCAGCTCCTCCCCTGGAGCTGCTCAAGACCATACCTACAGGGTATTTGAGACCTGGTTGTCCTCCTGCCTCATGAAGCCTCTCCTCCCTTTCGGAGAGTCACCTGGGAGCTTCACTCTGATTTACTGTTTATTAAATCTGGTCTCATTAATTCAGTTTGATTTTTCTTATTGCATCGGCAGAGGATACCCAGTAACTGGGGATCCAATTCTTATAAGGGACACCATGTTCTTTTGTGCCTTTGAGATGACATTCGCTGTGTCTTCGGTCCTGAGGTCACATCCTTTATTAAGAACCCTTCCCCTCCCACTCCTTGGCAGAACTAGCTGGTTAGTCTTTGGCTACGGAGGCATTTCTATGCAAGCACAAGGCAGCATATTCCAGATGCTTCTATGTTGGCCATTCCTCTGTTGCTCACACTTGCTTTCCTCAGAATCTCTGTACCTCAATTGCATAAGGAATTAAAACATTGTGTTCAGAAAATATTCAGCCTAACATCAAATGAAACGGCTAAATATCAGGGAAAGAATTTTTTATCCATTCACTCATTGTTTACATTACAGAGCCTTACTATAAAAATTGTTATAACTTTCAAAATTTAGATTCAGGTCAGTTGATAACAACTGCAGTAATAGTGATGTTAAGGGGTAATTTTTTCTTTTTTCTTTTGAGGGGCAGTTTTGAGACAGTTTCTCTATTTAGCCCTGGCTGTCCTAGGACTTGCTCTGTAACCCAGGCTGGCCTAGAACTCATAGATAACCTGCCTTTGCCTTCTGAGTGCTGTGACTCAATCAGCCATAATTTTAAAATTCAAACCTAACCTAGGAGTCAATAATTTGACTTCACATGATGAAGTCAAACTTAAGCCACAACCGAGTGTGGAGGGAAGCTAGCCTGGCGGTTAGAATAAATCCCATTTATTTCTCTGCTCACCTCCTCCCTTCTCCAACAGATAGCCTTAAATGACAGTGACCGTTCTGAGTGACACAGTCCCATGATTACAACATGTGAAAGGGGAAGGAGGTGACTTGTTAATTTTCTTAGCCAGGTCCTATCAGATGCCCTCAGGTAGGAGCAAAGCGGTGGGACACTGATTTCCCCCCAGCTCAGAGATAGCTGTTAGGGTCTTGACTAGTGTGGTCGGCCAGCTCCAATTGCCCCATGGAGGGACAATACGATAAGTGTGAGTTGTAAACAGTGTGAAAAAGTTTGTTAAGTCTGGGACTAGGTTGCTGCCAGGTAACTGCTCAAATAGCCTACTGACTTCTATCCCCAAAGGAAAAGCACTTTATGCCTCTGCGGATCCTGAACACATGATCTGAAAAGAGAAGAGCCTGCCTTGCAATGGCAAAGGTGCTTTTTTCACCCACTTATTGGTGGAAGAGTGCTTAGAAAATACTGTCAATTCCTCCCCAGCATCCAATTTGTAGGGTTGGCAGAGCATGATTAAGACATGGCAGCCACACAGAAGGAAGAAAGGCCTTGGAAGCCTGGTACTCACCGTTCCCACCAAAGGGTAAATGAACCCTGCACCAATGCTGGCCCGGACATCACTGATAGGCAGAATGAAATCCCTTGGCACCCCCTTTTTATCAGGTTCGTGAGACAGAGAAAGGTGGGTCTTTGCCATGCAAATGGGCAAATTTCCAAAACCCTGTAAGAAAGAAAAAGAAATTCATTCACTGTTGGTCCTTTGGACTTACTCTTCATTTTACACCACCTCTGCAGCCATTGTATGCTGGTACGGATCTGCGCAGGTGCAGTAGTGGCTGCTGCTATTTGTGGAGCCACAAATGGCTTGTCCCTGTAGCCATGATTTATCAGGGTGTGAGGTCTACTGTTTACGCCGGAGATTTCCTAAAGAGGACACACTTACACACTCGTGTGTGTGTGTGTGTGTGTGTGTGTGTGTGTGTGTGTGTGTGTGTGTGTAAAAGCAAGGCTATTTTTAGGCACAGCAGGGGAACAGTTGTAGAAAGTGCTTTCCAAGGCTATTAATATCCAGGGAAGAGAAAGGTAATACAGAACAAGGCTCCTAATGAGGCTTAGTTTCACTGTTCCATCCTCCTTGGAGTCTGCTCGGAAGCAAAGGGCCCTTTGTGCTGGGTTATGAATCATGGCTATTTGATCTGTGATTACATTATAGGAACTAAGATGAGGTCACTTTTTAAGCCTCTTTTATTTTTAAGGACCAAAGTCTGTGCCTGACCCAGAATTCCAAAGGTGAAAGGGGAGGAAGTCACGTGCAGCATCTCACAAAAAGGACAGTGTCTGGGAAGGATGCTGTAATTAAACAGCACATAGTGTCCCTTCAGAGGTCTCACTAATTAATTGCAACCACATACTAGACACTCACTTTTAAGAAATATTCCCGTGGTAGACAGATGACAGAACGCAATTACTTATGATTCAACCTAAAACTATTTAGAACATTTTAGAGTATTATCAATTGTGTGTGTGTGTATGTACTGTGTTTTTGAAACCCCCACTTTTACATACTAATGAGGATTTTGGTGAAGAAAAAACATCACAACTGATACCCCGAATTTTTTGTTTTGTGGAATGATTAAGTATTGAAATAAATGCTGTGAAATTTGAAAATTTTGCTAGCACAAAAATTTAAAAAATATCCTACTAAAATATTACATCATAAATAATATTTTATAACTAAAAAGACTATTAGAATAAATGATGGTTCTTAGCATTAAAAGTTCATGGGGAAAAATACCCCAAACTTGATGACAATGACTTCACTCCATCGTAAACAAAAGAATTACCAAAAGTATCAGAGTGCAGAAGGATGGACAACTAGCCATCATTTGGTGAATATTGGGGCATAAGAGACATAAGGTCTTTAGTTGGGCTGACCTTCAACACTCTATGTAGCTAAGAATGATCCTAAACTTTCTGCTTCCATCCTCTGTGCCGTGATTACAGGTTTTCAATTCTAAACCCAGTTTGCACAGTGTTATTAACTGAACGCAGGGCTTAGTGCATAAATACTCAACTACTGAGGTACAGGCCTAGTCTGAAAATCCTTTTTTCAAATAAAGAAACGCTCAGGGACTGGAGAGATGGTTTGGTGAGTAAGAACACTTACTCTTGCAAGCTTGAGGACCTGAGTTTGAATCCTCTACCTCCACGTGAGAATCAGGACATGGCCATGTATGTCTGTAACTCCAGCATGATAGGAGTGAGGTTCATAGAGACAGGTGGATCCTGAGAGTCTGCTGGCTAGGTAGCCCAGCAGAAAGGGTTAACTTTTAGTTCAGTGAGAGACCCTATGTCAAGGCAGTAAGGCAAAGCATGATAGAAGAAAGCACAGACATTCTGGTTTCTGCATGTCTATGCACAGGTGTGCACACCCACACAATCACATGTGTGAAAAAACATACACTCTCTTTCACACACATGAAAGAAAAGCTGGGTCCCAGAATGTAGCTCAGTGTTGAAAAATAGGGGAAAAAATAAAGAAAGACAAGATAGAAGAACACATGTGCAAACTTTGGGGAAAAACAATTATTTTTTTCCTTCAGGGGAGAGTATGAACACAGCCCCCGCCCCTCCACTACCAAAAATGATGCAGTTTCCTACATGTAGAGAAATTCAGGGGGCAGCATGTCTGGAGTGCAACAGATAAGCCTTGCCCTGGGAAAACCACATTCGTGACTCTGGTATCTCCCCTGCCAGGTAAGTATATGTTTGTTCTTTCGAGACAGGGTTTCTCTGTGTAGTTGTGGCTGTCCTAGAACTAAGAGATCCAACTGTCTCTGCCTGTTAAATGCTAGGATTAAAGACATGTGCCACCTGTCTGGAAAACGATTTTTATCAAACCCTGGAGAAACAACTTAGCACTGATAGGATAGTATCTAACAACATATCAAACACATTATAAATAGGATGCAGGAGTGGGAGGGGAAAAAGACAACACTGTTACATAGTGACCCTGAGAACAAGCTTCTGAAAAGCCGACTTCTCTGTAATTAGGCTAAAAGCAGGCGGAGGCATTCGAGGCACTCAGTCCCTCACAGTGCTTGCTTACTTGTCACTGTCTAGAGGTAGAAGATAGTGGAGCCTTCAATTCCTGAGGACAGTCCTGAGAATAAATTAATGAACCGTCTGCATAAAAACACCATCAAACACTCCCATCATGTTCACCTCACCTGTGGCATGCAAACATTTTAAGACAGTAGAGCCTCACAATGAAGAGAAAATGCTATAAAGAATCAAATGCTGACCCCCGCCCCCAATACCAAAGGGACACTTTCCATTGCGTCTGGCTGACGGAGCAGGAGAGTGAACACGGATGACACTCATATAAGGTACCCTGAATAGGGATGGAGTTCAGTGGGAAAGTGCTGATTAAGCACAGGAGCCAGTCGCTGGTACCTTCTCCTGCACTGCAAACCAGAGCCATGGTCACAATCTCAGAGTCAGGATGGCCGAGTCAGAGGATAAATAACCTAACTAACCATGATGCTTTAGCTAGCCAACAGTACCTATTCTACTACTTTAGTCTCTGTTGATCCTCAGGCCATTTAATGGAGTTTAATTATGAGACAGAATTTACCTTTCCTCAAATCAAGGTGTGCATTTTTAGTCTGCAAGGCAGATCTCATCCCCCTCCCCGAAAGGTAAAGGGACCTTGTTTACCTGTTGCGTATAGCGATCAATTTTGGATTGTGCCTCAGGAGACAGCTCGATATCCTTGGCTCCATAGACAGCCTGGGCAATGGTTCTTATCTTTTCCACAATTGGAAGCTGGAGAAAAACGAATGACAACAAAATCATTGGCTTTAACATGGTCGAAGAACTAAGGGAAAGCTTGGTGGAATTTTAGATTTTGACTGAAAACTCCCCCACAAGCATAGCATTCCAGACCAGCCATCTTTTCTCCTTTAGTCCCCAAGGCACGAAAATGTTCACATCAGAAATCAGCCAGCAGGAAGGAAGTCTTGATATTTAGCCAACAAAAAGACTGGCAACCTAGTTAACTGTTTTAATCCATTTCAGCATTAAAAATAATGCTTTATGTTTTGCAAAAACCTTACTAAAAATAAGTGACTTTATAGACATTTGAAGTGCTGATATGATCGGGTATTTCACTGGAAAACCAGACATTGACTCTCCTGTCACATTAGCTAACTAAGTGGCGTGGGAGAAACTTTGAGAAGACTGGATTATTGTCAAATGGTGCCAGGTGTAGTGAGTGGCACATGGTCCAAATCCCAGCACCTGGAAGGCTGAGGGGGGGACTGCAAGATTTAGAACAACGTGGGTGAGGCTATCTCATAGAACCAAAACCTTAAACAACAAAACGCTACAAAAACACACCCCATGACTCCCTCCAAACAAACAGCCAATGAATCAACCCCAACAAAATAAAAACAAAGTGAAGGCTATCGGTACCTCCAAACAAAACAACCAACAGATCACCCCCAACAAAATAAAAACAAAGTGAGAGATACCAGTACTTCCAAACAAAACAACCAAAAAATCACCCCAACAAAATAAAAACAAAGTAAAGGATACCAGTAAATTAATGTGTGCATGATGTCGTCTATAAAATTCTAGACTGGAAACCTAGATGTAACCCTGCTAGAAGGATGGTCTCACCCACTGGGCAGCTGACTTATGGACTGTGCATGACAAGGGCATATGGTGAATAGTACAGGTAGGAGAGTTATCCAATCAAGACAAAACACAACCTAGTACCTGCCACCTTCCCAACCCTGATAGAACCATCAACTGTTTGGAGCCATGCTTTTCAGTACTGCAGATTCTATTACTGTGGCATTGTTCTGTGGTCTGGAACTTAAATATTGGACATCTAATAAATGAAACACAAACAACCCCCTTCCCAGATAGGTTCTCACTATGCAGTCCTTGCTGGATTGGTAACTCATTCTGTAGACCAGGCTGGCCTCAGTCTCACAAAGCTCTGCCTGCTGCTGCTTCCTGAGTGCTGGTATGAAAATGACAAGCCACAAGCCACTCACAGCAGGTGTAAGTCTAGACAAGGTTTCATTGAAGGATGGAAAAAGGGTCATAAGCAGTAGAGACAAATACTGTGTACATGAATGAAGCAATTCAATGCAGTGCACACATCGCCTCTTTGTTATTTACCTTACTAGTTCAATGCAATTCCAATGAAAATCCCAAGAGCAGCTGGGATTCCAGAATGTGATCAATTAGTTCTAAAAATGCACACTGAAGAGAAAATCATGGCACCAATCAAGTATCAGTAACACCACAAAACTATATTAGTAAATGTCTTGTGATATCACCACAGGAATAGATGAATTACTCCATGGAAGAGAAGAATGGACTACAGGTATGAGGTGATACATAACAGAACACAACATAGAAAGGGTTAGTCCCAGCAGACTTTTGACTAGAAAGAAATAAAAGTAGATTCACACCAGCCTGCCTGCCTGCAAAAATGGAGCAGAGGCCTCAACTTGACAATCAAAGCTCTAAATACCACAGGGTTTGTCTTCCCAACACAGGGAAAGAATTCTTAAAGATGGGAACAACAGAACAGCAAAAGTTGGACACGGGCCATGCATGTCTGTGTTCCCAGCATTGGGAGGTACAGGAAGAAGGATTAGGTGGCTTGGGTCAGCTTTGGCTACATGAGTTCAAGGATAGCCTAGGATACATGAAACCCTGTCAACCCCCACACACTTACATATCCATACCAATGCACATACAGTAAGTCATAAGAGAAATGATTTATGGATCCTTAATTTTTTTTTCCTCTGGGGGCGCTGAAGAGATGACTCACCGAAACCACACATATGGTGGCTCATAAACCACCCATAACTCTAGTCCCAGAAGATTAGTTACCCTTTTCTAACCTCTAAGAGCACCGGACAAGCATACGATGCACACACACACACACCATAAATAAAATTAAAACAAAAAAAATTCTTTTTTCTGAGATAGTGACTTAGCCTCCTGAACACGGAGATTATGGGTGTGTACCATTATACTCAGCAACTTCTGAATTTAAAAATATAAAACTTTGAAGGTAAATGGATAATGGTATACTGAGAAGTAAATATTTGAATAGTTTAAAAGCTAAAAGATTAGTATTAAAATGAATTTTAAATACCTATTAAAAGACACTTAATAATGGGCAAAAACTAACAACCACATGAAAAATAATCTCACTGATAATAAAGAAAATAGCTAATTATTAAAAACAAACAAACAAAAAAACCCCGAAAAAACAAAAAACAAAACCCGAAATCTCGGGCTGGGGAGATGGCTCTGTGGGTAAGGTGCTTGCTGCACAGCATGGGGACCTGAGTTTGGATCCAGCACTCTCATAATTACGGCTTTGATGCACAATACTTCTAGCACTGGGGAGGAGGAAACAGGTTCACTTTACAACCTAGGTAAAGAAGCAAGCTTTGCTTTAGCAAAAGACTGCTTCAAAAACAAGGCAGAGGGCTGCCAAAATGACTCAGCAGGTAAAGGTGTTGCTGCCAAGCCTAATAACCTGAGTTTGATTCTTAGGACCCACACAGTGGTAGGAGAGAACCAACTTCTGCCCACCGTCTTCTGACTTCTACACACTGTGGTTTGTATGAATATACACACTAACACAGGAAAGAGACAGGGGTTTGTCTCCTAGGCGATTTTAGATCCTTGCAAGGTGACAATGTTAGCAATCACAGGAACCATCTATTTACCGAAAAGTTACTCTAGCCTCTGGAGTGGATAGTTATCCCCGTATACCAGTAAACAAATGACTATAAACTTCCTAAGCATGAGCTCCTGGTGGTACAGGAGTTACAGAAGATACAGGAAAGCTCAGATGATGAGGTACTGGGGTGACAATGAGAGGGGACTTTGTGCATGAGCCTTTGATCTCACTGTCTGCATAGGACATAGCCATTTGAGGAAGAGCTTGTTCCTGCCACTGTTGATGCTACCACAATCTCCTCTTGACGGTCAGTGATAGCACAGGGCCAGTGAAAAGGCTCAGCAGCTAAAGGTACTTGCCCACAAGCCTGACTGGAGTTTGATCCATAGGACCCAAGCGGTAGAAAGAGAGACCGGACTCCTGTTCTCTGCCCTCCACACGTTCAGCATGGCACATACCACCGCCCCCAAATAAACAAAAATCTAACGAGATGCTGGAAGATCTTTCTAGCAGGCTAGAATTCTCTCATCCAGCTAGGCTTCACATGTTGCCTGTCTCAGGACCACTCCAACCTTCTGTGAGCACAAGGGAGTGCATCGTCTTTTTGCCAGTAACTAATCTCTTCCTTGCTGGTGTTTACTGGAAAGTGCTTTGGGAACATGAGCCAATGCCCAGGCTGATGCTGTGATCTGTACTAACCAGGACCCCCCCTCCCCCAACCCACGGTGAGTGGAAAAACAGGAAGAGGGGAGCAATGGGCAGCCTCACCTCTGGCGGTTACTATCACAGCTGCATGTCTCTTAGCAGGCACTCCATCCAACCCACTGAGCAGGAAGCCCCATGCCAAGGTTCGGAGGGGCTTCTACTGTGGCATTTTGCAAGTAAACAGATGAAAATATCTCAGTTAACTTATTGCTAAGGGGCAGTGTGAACATTCCTCACATGACTGTTTCTCCTTCCACTGGGTAATCTATGTATTCTGTGTCTTCAGAAAAGGTAAGCTGCTTTGTGGAAAACCATAGCTTTTTATAAAGACAAATAAAATGATAAAATAAGCTGTAAGTGTTTATGCATTCATCAGCATTGGCATTCCCCTGACTGTGTACATGGGGATGAATCTGTTTATTCCCTCACTCAGATAGGGCCAGTGTCTAGCAGAATGGTTGACACATAGTAGGCCTTGCCCAAGCCTGAGCTAAATAAGCAAATAACCATCTACAGCAAGTACTTTCACAATGTCAAGGCATCACAAACAAGTTTTGGGGACTTTCTGTGCAAGAATTCCCGATGGAGTGCAGACAATGGCACAATAAACAAGTGTGACAGGAGAGAGTGTGCAATCAAGGCTCTGAGTAAACATGACGAAGTCAGGAGGTGGCACATTGCAGGGCAGGCGTGGAGATCTGCAAAAGCTGGCAAGACATTAAAAGGAACTTTTGAGGGTGTCGTTTGGTAGTGGAGCACTTGCCTTGCATGCACAAGGCTCTGGGGTTGATCCCAGCATGAAAAAACAAAACAAGACAACTTCAATAGTGCCTGGAAGGAAGGACAAGAAAGATCTCAAAAAGCAAAAGAAAAGAAACCTCATTCTACATGGAGAACAAGGTAGAAGCCTCGGCCCAAGCAGCAGGGGTCAGAAAGCTTGTTATAAAATTCTACTTGTCTATGGCAGGAGTGTAACGTATAGTAATAAGACTTCGTGGGGGCTTGAGAAGTGGTTCAGTGGCTAAGAGCGCTGGCTGCTTTTGTAAAAGACTGGGTTCGATTCCCAGCATTTACATGGGAATTTGCAAACATCTGTAACTCCAGTTCTAAGGGATCCAGTGTCCTCTCCTGGCATCTGTGGGTACCAGGCACACATATTGTGCACTGGCGTCCGTGCAGACAAACACACAGGCTTTAGAGAGCTGTGTGTCTGGACTAGTGCTGCTCCTTTCTGAATTAGCACTACGTTAGACCTTGACTTCTCACATTCCATGGCAATTCTCTCCCAAGCCTCTGAAATATTAAGAACCCAGAATATTCTAGAACAGAACTGCAATGTCTGTCACCGTACAAATATTTTCTGCTTCTTCTTTCCAGCCAAGTAGCAATGCACATCACAGAAGCATTGAAGCACTGGAACGGGACCAGCACATTGGAAATGATTGAGGAAATGAACTCTTAATTTTATTTTAGTTCATTATCGTCTAAAGGGCTGCCAGCTTTCTTGGGCAGTATGGCTTTAGAAAAAAATATGACCAAGTATCATATTGATGTGCAGCTTCTTTTTAAAAATTATTATTATGTGCATGGGTATTTTGCCTGCATGTATGTCTGTGCATCTGTTGCATTTCTGGAGGCCAGAAGAGGGTGTCAGATTCCTAGGAACTGGAGTTAAAGATGGCTGAGCTGCCATGAGGGTGCTGGGAATTGATTTTGGGTCCTCTGAAGGAGCAGTCAGTGCTCTTAACTGCTGAGCCATCTCTCCAGCCCCTTGGATAGCTTATTGCATGCAGCCGGTGCACCATAAACCTTGGCCAAGTGACACTATCAGTGTAAGGTAGAGGATATGGTGGCTTTTATAGGTCGTACTCATGGTGTAGCTATGGTGATTCAGACTGGTGGAAGCTACCCAAAGTCACACGATAATGTTATTCTTGAAAAGTCTCTGGAAATACCCAAAGAAGTTGTTAAATCAAACTATTTAAAAACTGACCTTTTAATGGAATAAACCAGTTGATAAATCCCAGAAAAGTATTTACTTAAACTTTTTGTGTGTGTTTTTTTCTTGTTTTTTCGCGATAGGGTTTCTTTGTGTAGCTTTGGAGCCTATCCTGGCACTCACACTGTAGACCAGGCTGGCCTCAAACTCACAAAGATCCACCTGCCTCTGCCTCCCGAGTGCTGGGATTAAAGGCATGAGCCACCAACGCCCGGTCTACTTAAACTTTTATACATATTTTTTTCTGAACACACACACACACACACACACACACCAGTCTGTGCTTGGTAGAGCATGCATTTAATCCAGCACTCAGGAGGCAGAGGCAGGTGGATCTCTGTGAGTTTGAGGCCAGCCTGAATTACAAAGAGAGTTCCAGGACAGCTAATGCTACACAGAGAAACTCTGCCCCCAAACCCAAAAAAGCACTAAATAAAGTGAAATAGAACTAAATTTTAAAAATGAAGCTGTTAGAAATAACCAAGAAAAAAAGCATCATGGGGCTAGGGCATTGCCTCCATGCATAAGAATTCTTGCTGAGCAAGCATGAGGACCCGAGTTCAAATACTGAGCAGCCGTGTGAAAAGTATGTGCTTGTAGAGGTCCCAGTGCTCTGAGAGGCATAAGTCAATGGGTTTGCTGGTCGCCAACCCAGCTCCAGGTTTGGTGAGAGACCCACTTTCAATGGGATAAGTGATGAAGTGGAATGCTTAATGTATTGTGATCTCCAAGTGAGTGTGTGTGTGTGTGTGTGTGTGTGTGTGTGTGTGTGTGAGAGAGCGAGAGAGAGAGAGAGAGAGAGAGAGAGAGAGAGAGAGAGAAAATAAAACAAAAACAAACCAATGTCTTAAAATAGTGATGTTTCTGTTCACTTGGAGATCAGATGCTAAAGGCAGCAGCTTGAGTGATGAAAACACTACCTAGCATTCTGCCACCCACCCCTGACCATATCTTAGTGAGCCCACACAGTTGCTGTTTCAGCTCTGCACCAAATAAAGTCATTGGTATGCATCTTGACACACTGAATAAGAAATAGGGTGCTTTTGTTTCTCCAAGGCCATGGAGCTGAAAGCACGTGGGTTAACCATTTTTATTCTGTGATACTGGAATAATATATTTTGATGCCCATAAACATGTAAAGAGAAGGATCAATTAATAACTTATAAGTCGAATATAAATCTCCAGGTGCACGGTAACGACTTCAGCTCAGAGTCTGTATCTTAAACGAAGCACTGATTTTAAATGATGCACACAGTTTGGCAGACAGCTTTTCCAGTAATTCAAACAGACATATGACTGGAAACGGTCCATGCTCATTTACACTGACCAGACCACACAGGTACAAGGGCTGCATGACACACGTACCAACCGGTGTCCCTCCAGGAGCAACTGTCATTGTTACTGAGAACATCAGGGCTCTGTATCTCTGACACAAACCATACTTGGAGCCAGAGGCTAGCACATCTGAGCTACAGAGTGGGTGATTTTATATTTCCTGGTCCCCAAGTGTCCCACCCTGAGCAGTGGGTTCACCTGAGAACCCCTGAGAAACCCCATCCTCCCTTAGTAAGGCAACTGCAATGTGTGATGGAGAACAATGGAGGCCGGGAAATGAAAAAAGTGTCTCACTGTTAGGAGAGGTGAGACTGACAGATTTACTAATGAGAAACACAACCATGTGGGAAATGTACAGGCCACTTTGCATAGATTCCTCCAAAGGGCCTAGTATCTAGGAAGCAGAAAGGAGAAACAGGGCAAAGGGCATGTGGGGACAGGGGCAAGGACAATGAGAAGGGGCTTAGAACCTTTCTCATTTGAGTGAGCCTCCCCTCCCCAATTACTACAAAATAGCAAGACACATGGGGTGAATAAATAACATTTTAAATTTTAAAATTCTACAAATTCAACCCCGTATACACAATAATGTATGTAAAGCCACAGAAGCAAACATATAAAATGAATGACTTGGAGCCAATCACACCTCTACTCTAAAAACCTACTTTATATACAGAATTGCAAGCATATGTGCATGTATACACGCATTTAAATTTATACATATAAAATTTGATGTTCTGGTGGCAAAGGCCTTGAGTCTTAATTAAAAGAAAACTCACAATGCCTCTAACTGATATACGTTCAAGTTTGAATCTTTAAAGAAAAACGAAGTAATTCCTCAATAACTGACTAGAAAGCAAACAAACAAAAACTCCGCTTTGAAAATGACTGGCAGAGTAGAAACCAACTCCAAACTAGTGGGGCTGAGAATGTCCCAGGTCACAAACTTGCAGCCAGCTATCTTGTGTGCTTTGGTTTCCTCCATCCAGCCCCCACTGTGTTCCAGATAATGGTGCTACGTAAGTAACAGGAAAGCCTTTCTAACAAAAACAAATGTGAGACCTCAAAATGTCTGCATGTTTAGAGGAAGGGTCTGGAGAGGATACACTGATGGAACAGACAGACTCTGGCTAGCTTCTGGTGTCACTCCTCAAGCTTCGAAAAAATGAGTTTTTAGGGTTCCACTCACAACTCTTGAGCCTCACATCCTGCCTGATGCCGACGACACATGAGGTGTGCACCTTACAAATAAATACAACTACGATTGTTGGTTGGGGTAATGTCCTTCTGTATATATGTTTCTATTATTGGTTGATGAGTAAAACACTGTTTGACCAATAGAGGCAGGAAAATAAGCGGGACTAGGAGACAGGAGAACTCTGAGAAAGGTAGGCAGAGAGAGGCTGAGAGGCCGTGAGGAGATACCATGCTGTTGAAGAAGTAACATGCAGATTACAGGTAAGTCACAGCCTCATAGCAATACATAGATTAATAGAAATGGGTTAATAATTAAGTCAGAGCTAGCCAATAAGAAGCCCTAGTAATCGGCCAACGGTGTGTTTATTTGGGGCAAAATGGCTCTGGGCTAGGCGGGACCTGGAGGGAAAGAAACTCCAGCAACAACTGTCCATATATGACAATCTAAAAAAAAGGAATAGATACTCAGGAATGAAAATTCAAGTATAACACACAAAAAGCAGTGTTCCTTTGAGAGTTGGTGGATGTCAGAAACTTTTTGACACTTAGGTTTTGTTTTCCTAAGGCATGCTTTAATCCCAGCACTTGGGAAGCAGAGACAGGTGGATCTCTGTGAGTTTAAGGTCGGCCTGGTCTACAGAGCAAGTTTCAGGACAGCCAACCAAGGCTACACAGAGAAACCCTGTCTTGAAAAACCAAACCAAATCAAACCAAACCAAATCAAACCACCACCACCAACGAAACAACTCAAAAAGGGTTTTTTGAACCCTTTTTGATAGGGTTTGAACTTACTATGTATTAGAGAACCACTTTGATTTCCTAATGTCCCTCTTCCACAACATAGGTCCCTGGGATTGAACTCAGGACATCAGTCTTGGCAGTAAGTACCTTTACCTGTTGAGCCATCTTAACAGGCCTTCCCTATTGATTCTGACCAATACTTGACCAATAACTGGAATATCCAAGTCCCCCACTCATCAAGTGGCCTTCCCATGAATAAATATTTTCTGCACTAACCATCACAATTCATCCCTCAAGTCATTCCTGCCACGAAAGGCTAACACGTCAGTGATGCCCTTCACTGGCAGGGACTCTGTGCCTATCAATTTCTGTCATCTCTCTGAGTTGTACAGTCACTGTCCCCTCAGGCTGCAGGTCCTTTCCCTCCCTCAAACATACTCGTGCACACAGTTCTCAGGGCTGAGGATAAAACCTGCATGCTGACCTTTGTCTTAGTTAGACTCCCAGGTCTGCCGTCTTCTCCTGGGACAGTGGGCAGGTTCCTCCACCTCTGCACATCACCATTTTAACCCTAGAGCAGGACACCACTGGTCCTTGCCAATCAGAGACATCAGGATGAAAAGAATTGGACAGGCGCAAAGTGCCCATGTAGGTGGCCTGTGGACAGCTCTCCCCAACTTTGTGCTCTTGCTGATGAAATTGTAGGCTGACAGATGTGACCAGGCCCTCGACCCTTGCTTGCTTTTGTTTCCTGTTCACTTACACTGCTGAGTCATGCAAGCAGAGGGACAGTGATGCTCTGGGGAGTGTGTGAGGGACGGAGATGGGAGGTGGCCGTTAGCTTTTAGGTTGACACTCTGGCAAGCCATAGACACCCTCTGAGGACAAATCTATTGACCAGAGCAGCAGCAATGAGATCCAAGATCGAGATATGAGTGGGTACCAGGACAATGTCAGGAACAGTGAATTGTGGGAAATCCAGGTTTTCTACTGAAGGGCTCAATGTCAAGATAAGTTATAAAATGAATTAGAAGGCTGGATATAGGGACACATGCTTGCTAGCAATCCAAGCATTAAGGAGGTGGAGGCGGGAGGGATTAGAAATTTAAGGCTCTCCTCAGCTACATAGTAAGTTCAAGGCCAGTCAGGATTATATGAGAGCCTATCTCGGAAAACCAAACACCAAGAAGTACCCACCCCCGAGAAAAAGAAAGAAATCAACCTAGAAACTCTGGTATTCCCATTGCTGGCTATGAACGAGATGTTTGCATGCTCATGCATACACACAAACACACACTATAGACACGTGAGCAGTACAGCATTTACAGCAGTCATGTGGTAGAAGCAACCCACACCTGTCAGCAAAATGTGGTGTATACATGCAGTAAAGACAACATCCAGTCTTTTTAAAGCAAAGACAATTCTCACATGTGCTGTAACATCCAAGAACGTCACACAGTTTGAAACAAGCCACAGTAGGAAAGACCAACACTGCAAGATCCCATTTATATGGAGTATCTAACCAGTCAAATTCTTAAACATAAAGAAGAATGGTGGCTCCTAGAAAGATCCACGGAAAGGGAGGATGAGGAGCTGTTAAATGAATACCAAGTTTCAGTTTTCTATGATGAGAATAGCTCTAGAAACTGGCTGCACAGCAATGTGAATGTACTCAGTACCATTGAATCGCACACTTATAAATGGTAACATAAGCATTTTACTACAAGGAAAAAATATGTAAGACAGTGCAAG